GCCAGCCATGAGTTGAAGTCCACTCATCTTAAAGTGGCCAAGTTTGGACAACACTGCTCTAGAGTAAAACAATGCTAATCAAGCAAAACATGAACTTCAGCTAGCTGTTAGAAATCTGGGAGACACAAAAGTCAAGGATGAGAAAAACTCAAAATCACCTGCCATTGTGAAGATATGCAAATGTTTGCTTGGGAACCTCACAGTTTAAAGTAAACAAATTTTGCAGTTTATTTGGATTTAGGTTTTATTTAATTCCAGCTGGACATATATTTAAATAAGCACTCTGCGCTAAAACTGGACAATGACAGTGAAAATAATGTCATAATTGTGCTCCCGGTGAAACTAGTACACCGCGCAGCTTTTGTAAGGGTTACTATATATAGGAAGGTTATAAAACATAGTCAGTACCAGGAAACAGTTTTATTCACCCAGAAAGCAGAATTTCTATTTAACTGTCTGGTATCAGCTTGCTTCAACTTGCTTCCAGTTGACTTTAAAAAAAAAAATCAAGAAAGAACATGCAACAGCTTTACAGTTTTCTGTAATACTTCTTGAACATTCCTGAAATTTAGTGCAATTCAGTCCTAAGAGAAAAGTTCCTTCTGTATCTACTCACTTCATGTCAAAACCAAATACGAAACTGGTAACATACAGCCATAAAACACACTAACCCTGAAATGTTATGCATGCCTACTGGGGAAATCAGAAGCTTTAACGGCTTTCAGCAAAAGCCTAAACAAATTTAGCATCTGAAACATGTTTACTCAGAAATAAGTTCCACTGAACTCAAAATGTCTTAATCCTTGCACATTTTAAGTTTTATTCTAAGAAAAAAGGTCTCGATAATTTATGTTTTTTTTTTCATATAGAAGAATGAATCTCTTGGTTTTAGTAGTAGTTACTGGTATTTCATGCACATTGTTTAGTAATGATTTAGTCTTTACAAGGTAGGTGATTAGCATTTTAAAAAATCTGAATAGAGATATTCTATGAAGTGTAAATTATTTCATTCAGTAGGAAACATCTCTGTACACAAGTGAACGTTATTTTCAATAAATGTTTTTTGGATCAGACTGCCATATCCTAAGTAACCCCATTCATTACATATGGTCACTTTCCCCATTACGGCACACTAAATACAAGTTTACAAGTCTTTTTTTCTTTTAATCTTCCCCTTTTAAAAATTTCTTCGATAAAGGGCTGATAATTTTTTTTAAATGGAAAAATAACGATTCCATACCTGAATTTTTATTCCACATTTATAAGAACAATAACTGCTGAAAAATTAGAGATTCCAAAAAAGTCATATTGTAACTTCTTGTATAGAGAAGCTTGAAATCTACAAACTAATCCTTCAGATTTTTGCAACCCAATCCTACACATGTATACTTGAAAGCAAAACTACACACGTATGCTTTATAGTACTGAATTTCAAATCAGTTGTACAGGTTTTCAGAAGGACATCCATGAAAGTATATTTCATAACAAATCTGGTAGAGATTTTAAGGTGCCACAATATTCTTTGGAATTTTTTAATAGTTTGCCACTTCACTGTGCCTCTTGTTATTAGTCCAAGGACAATTTCCTGGCCAGATACTGTAAACTCAGTACTTCGTCCTAACTTTATGCAGCAAGGTTTATTATTTCCAATTGTTCAATGTTTGTGGATATTAACAACAGCATTCTCTTGTTATTAACAAAATCTATTCAGAGTTCTTGCCTTGAATTTTAGGATCCTAACTTACCTTATTGTTCAGTTTGAAGACCACTTATAATAAATCAGTATTTATTAATCTATTATATTAATTTAATTAAGGGTTAATTAGTATTAACTCATTAATGTTAAAATCAAAAGGCATCTACTATAAAAACAGTCCATAGGTAATCCTATGAAGATCTCACTTCCTGACATGTTCCAGAAATTGCTAATTTTTCATTTGTTTAATTAACAAAGGAAATAATTAAATTAGTATAAATGTAATGGAAAGTGCACTCTAATTCTTTATCCAATTGTTCATTCTATAGAAAGTTTATTTCCTTTCAACTTTCTTCTGCAGAAGTCACTGTGATAATTAACACTGAGCTGTGCTTTGCAATTAGTTATTCATATTTAATAAAGTAAATTCATTTGAGTATTTGTGTTTAGGTTCTGAATTTTCCACACTGATATCATCTCCTACATTTGCTTCAATAGGATGCATCATTACATCCCATTAGTGCAAAATATATATCCATGTGCCTCGACACAGGATAAGACAACCACTGCTAAGTTCCATGTAAAAAATATTCTACCAAATGTCATTTATCTCTAAGGTAGGAGAGAGCAGGAAGCAACTAACCTTATAACAATTTTTTTCTCTACCAGGAAAATAAAGAGATGCTTAACTGACCTCTAGTGGGGAATTTAAATATAATAGACAAGGAACCCCATAGTCCTCCAGATGTTGTTGGACTAATCTTCCATCAGATGCAGCCAACACAGTCAATGGTTAGGAATGATGAGGAGTTATCCAACACCATCTGGAGAACCATCAGGTCCTAACCATTTTGCTTTAAATGTCCCAGCGGATGAAAGACTTGACCTTCCCAAATTTGCATTATCCAGAAAATGAGAAATGTATTGTCCTTTCTTTCAATTAATGGGATGAAATAGCATAGACCCAGGTGGTTTTGGTCTTACAGCAAAATTGATACTGTTGATTTTGGACTTATAATCAGGTGTCAAATAGCTGTAATAGATGCTACTTTTCCAGTATAGTTCGGTGAAAATATTTAACTACAGTCAGTAAATGGATTTTGTGAACAAAGACTGTAAAAAAGCATATGTACACATCAGATGCCCTGGATATAAACACATCACATGATAGCATATTCCTCTGTTTTTCATTTAACCTACTCTCACATTAGGAACATTTACTAATACAGAAAAATAGGATAATACAAGTATTACTTTCTGTGGGGAGCACAATTATTTATTCTGTTGCCTTGTCTTTTCAGGTTAAACATGCATGGGTTTCTGAAGCACTACACAAATCAGTTCAACTAAATATAACTATTGAATAAGACCACACGCCACAGAAAAAGATGACTCTTACATAATAATCTTTAATCCCTTGTTCCTCAAAAGCCAATTGCAATTGCAATTGAACCAAAGAAACCCAAACATATTAACCTAAAATTCATGTTCTTACATACAGTGATTGTTCCATTAAGATAATTGAAGTGAGAAGTTAGTTGAGCATGAATAAAGGACAAGATTGATTTATATTATTTTGTGGTATCTCTAACAGTTAACAGAGCTTAGCAGTCACAGAGGTCTACTATGTCTCTAAGGAAGTGTTATTTCAGAATGTTTAAAAATCTGACAGCATTTGAAAATAAAAAATATTTTGACTACAGAAGATGCATGATAAGAACATTCAACAAGTTTATGTAACATTTTGCCAGTGGGAGAGAATATATTTTTATAGAATTAAATGGCCAAAGATACTTACTTTCAGTTTCTCAATTTCATCCTTATGTTCCCTCTTTAACTGCAAAATCGCAGCATGGTATTCTACAAAAAAATGAAATATGTCAGACCAATCTTACAAAAGTTACTGATATGCCAGTGCAAATATCAAAGGAACTATCCTATCTGATATCATATGGCTTTTTCCTGGCTACAGTGTAGTAAACTTAGTATAAAGAGGAAACTGTCAAATATCTTGAAGCACAACCCACTAATAAATGTTTACAGTTTGCTACAATAAATTATTTTGCTTTTCATTTTGTATTAATGGCTTCTAGGCTAATATAAACATTTTCATCTTCTCCATAAGTTACTATGTCTAGAAAGTAAGAAAAAAATGAATACAAGGGTTAACAATTAACAACTATTTCCCATTAGCTTGGTGACTGAATGAATAGCACTCATCATCAGGAGAACTTAACGGAGTAATATCTCTATGTGTTGGCTAACTGGGACACCTATAAAGATGCTTAGAAAAGGTACTCCAAATACAATGCATTGAGAAAGCAGACAGGCACTGACTGACTCCATCTATGATGTTCACAGACCTCCCACAACACTGTTAGCCTAGTGCCAGTCAGCACAAAGTGTGGACTGTTGTGTATGTGCAGATTAATGTTGCGGTCAGTGTGTGGCCATCAGATTCTTTAGAGCTCACCCACTTCTTGAACTGGAAATTTTAAAAAATAATCTAGAAAATGTATTAGAGATGAAACACAGTAAGAGAGAAGGCGTTATTGAATATCTATAATGTAAGCAGCATTCTATTTGCTATTATTACTAATATTTGTGAACTGCCTCCTATTATGCTGGGTATTGTACAAACAAAATAAAACAAAACAATGGTTTCTAAAATAGGAAAAGGGAATATGGAATGGAACGCATATTGATATACACACACCCTATAATTTGTAATCTATTTTAGATAAAGGAAGTGCAGTAGAGGAATCAGACAAATTCGTTATCAAAAGAAAAACTTCAGATAATATGAGGGTGGTGGAAGAAACAGGAAAAAAAGAAGTGACAGTTAATCTATATATACATATCATAATCTAAATATACTTATGAAAGAATTCTTTTTCACATGGAATTGTCTCTTGGTGACCATCTGAGATATTCTGTCATAACCTTGAAAGGTATATAGGAGAGTCTCGCTTTCTCATTTCAGTAAGTCAGAAACACCCTAAAAATAGCCTGTCAAAAATTGTAGCTACTAACTTCACTAAATTGGTTGCTATCCAGTAAATTATATTGGGGTCATAGTGGACAGATTGCTGAAAATGTTGGCCACAGCAATAATCATTAGGAAATAAACAAATTCCATTAAATAAGGTAAAGTTGTGTATACCACTAGTCTTCCCACATCAAACAAGGGATCACAGAATTAGACAAAATAATCTATTACCTCATTTTCTCTAAAAAAAAGACTAAGAAGTTTTACTTATTCTTTAAAAGATACATATAGATGTTAAACAAAACGCTTTTTGTGATCTCAAGTACTAATAAATATTGTCATTTCCTCCTCAGCCTTATTTAAAAAAGGTGTGTTCTTCCTTCCCAAACAAAGTTTGTACATATTGTCATAAAGATAGTCAGTGCCATGTTGACCTAGAGCCACTTTTTCCCCCCTAACTGGCCTACATCCAGATGAGGAATATATTACTACAAGATTAATAGGACCTAGTCATATAAAAGTGAAATCAAACATCTTCCTTTCTTGAAAATCATGTTTATTACTGTATATAAGAGGCTGGATCTTGAGGTGCTTTTTCATGAATGGAGGGCTATCTGCATTTATAAATAGAACTGTGATCCAGAAGTAGATATGACTGTGGAAATGACAGATTTTTACTGATTTCCTCCTCCCCTTGTCATCATTTCCTTCAGTGAATTACTGAGAAAGTCAATTTAGTTCCCTAAACATTATTGTAGAGTTACCTAAGGCTTCTGCTGAAAAAAAAAAAAAAGGTATAATTGGCAACTATGAATTCATCCAGCTTTGAATCAGAGGGGTGGCAGAATAGAGTCAGCCTAACCCTTTTAGCTAGTCCATGGATGTACCACAGATCCTGTAATGTCTGTCCTGGGTTCTTCCTCCTCTTCCTCCTCCTCTGAGGAGGGAAGATGTCAAGGGATGAGAAAAAGCAGCCAAAATAGCTGTCTGACTGAGAGTTCCAGTCAGACAATGTAGGTTGAAGCAGAACCAGTTCCCACAACATCTTTTGACTCTGCAGCTTCAATCTCTGATCTACAGCCTCTGAACCCGAAGCAAGTGACATTGTTGCGAAACAGAGGATTATGAGATTATAGGGCCAGCACCATAAGGAACACCAGCCACAATTAAGGGAAATAACTTTTTAAGGGTAGCTAAAACTCCCTGATTTTACTGATTCTTATTAAAGAGATAATACAGGATGCAAGGCAACAAGGAAGTGAGACAGCAAAGAGAGAACATGAAGAAGTAGGCAAGAAAATGCTAAGAACAGCTATTGTATATATTAAAATATACATATATGCACGTAACAAGATCCGTGATATACGCTATGCCAAGGAAAGACAACATGCTTCATTTTTCTTGACTCATTTTATACAAGGAATAAGATTGTTGTGGTACTTCCACAGTATACAGTATGAACACAATTTGCAGAAAGAGGCACTGAAAAAAAAAATGAAAACCAAGGCATCCTGAGCTCTGCAAACAAACAACCCTCCCAAAACAAAACAAAAAGGCACCATCTGATCATATGCTAAATATTACCCTGGAATTTCTTTTCTTCTCTTTCTCCGTTATGAATTGTTCTCATGTTAAACTACTCTGCCTATTGGGTGAGCAGCCAAAATAATTATATCCAAGAGTGGAAAGATCATTCTATACCTGTTGCAGCAGTCGATTGCTGATATCCATAGTTTCTTTTCATTTCATTTCATTTCACTTAGGTTTTGTTTTTGTTTTGCTTTTTTCAGAAAAGGGCAAGGAAGAAAATTTTAAAGCAATTTTGTCTTTAGTTTAAGATAAATATATGGAATATTTTTTTCTTTTTATTTGATTTGACATCTCTTAATTTTAATGTTACATCTCATTGTTATCACAGGTACACCCTCTCACCCATGCATTTTGTTAGTTTATTTTAATTAAAAATAATAATTTGGGCACAATTTTCTTACCTAGCAGGCCTATTATTGTCCTAGATCTATATGGCTTTTATGCAATACATAGACATGGCCCTCACATCAGACAGACACTGCCTTTATGTAATACAGAAACATCAACTTGACCCAGACAATACTAATGGATTATACCTTCTATCAACCCAGTTGTGTCTCCTTAAGAGCAAAAGTAAAAGAAAAAAAATATCCTTAATATATTTTTATAATAATTAAATTGAAGCCATTAGTCATTCTCTTATACAAAGTGCTTCTACTTCAATCTAACAGACCAGCACAGAAAGCTGAAGCATAAGATAAAAAGCAGGAAACACAAGGAACCCCCAATTGCTACTATGAGTGTTGGATTGAAGACTCTACCAGTATTTGATATTCTTGGACAACTGCTGAAGATCTGATCATAACAAAACATGCTGACTGTATTAGTTCTAGGTCCCTTATATGTTTACTGGGCTGGGAAGATGTCCTAGAAGAATGCTGCATTAAGTGCTTTATGGGCAATTAAAATAGCAAAGCACTGATTGAGCTGCTGTTGCCCATGCCCAGTAGGAAACTTGCTGGGGAAGGCCCCGATGTACAAATGATTACTCCAGAAGATGCTTGGATGGGGGAGGGATTAAAGAGCTGAAGCTACTTGTGATGATAGGTCTCCAAATGCCATTATGCCAATCATCTGCCACACTCATGAGTTAGTTTAACTAGGTGAGTTACAATTGAAGCTGATTTTATTGCTGGTAATTCTGTTGAAAGGTGCATACACATGTAAATATCCAAGAGAACGCTTTATAAGTCAAACAGTGTTATGGGACAAAATTACCTTTTCATATGACTTAAGATGCAGAGTACGTATTTGTTTTTAGAAAGGACAGCAGAAGCACAGTATTTGTTGCACATTAAATAACAGCTAAGCTCAGATGATAAACAAGAAACTGCAGGTTTAAAATATATTTGCCTTTGATAAGAATATTACTCAGGATGATTACATGTAAAGCAGGCTTGAAGAATTCTAGAGAAATCCTTCAAAACAGGGAACACCTTGTAAATTAGATTAACAGAACACAAGACAAGAATTGGCTGCAAGGATTCTGGAAAGAGATGTGAAGGTTACGGTACTGAAAAAGTTGTTCTGCAGCAGTTCTGGAAATGAGAACTACAGTTTTATAGTGTGGTATATCTTATAGATCTTCAAAAGTTTGTAGTTATCATTCAATCTTGACTGACTTAATTAAGATCTTATTCTCTGGATTTTGGATTTTGCCAGCATGGTTACTGTTGTGCTTCATGATTCATAGCTGTATGAAGAGGGAAAATGGGATTTGATTGTCAGTCTTTCTATCATCTTGACCACCTCCACACAGTAAGACTTCCACTTCATGGGAAGCATATAAAGCAGACTTCTTCCTCCACCTCCCTACAAACTTCACAAGGTAGAGGGTAGGGCTAGCAGAGCAGCTCCCTCTATACCACACAGCTGTTAAAACAAAGGAAATGACTCTCTAGAACATGGGAAAGCAATCTTTTGGGACATGCCAGTATTTGTTTGCTTCTTAGAATTATATCTCATATTTCCTTCAGGAGCTCAAGGCAGGATACATAGTGCTCCTTCCTACCATAACAACTTTGTGAGAGAGGTTGGACTGAGAGAGAATGACTGCCCATAAGTCACCCAGTGAGTCTTCATGACTGAGGGTGAAATTGAACCTGGATCTCCTTAGTACTAGTCCAGCACCCTAGCCAACACACCATACTAGTGTGGAAAGATGCATCAGCGGCTCTACAGAGGCATTTTCAACCTATTTACCTGTGAACATGCAAGCACACACCCTCCCATGATCTCAGTACAGCTGAGGCTGCTAGACTAAGGAGGTAAAACCTGCTCCTCCACCCACCTGTTGGCTTCCTCCTCACTTACCAGCATTGGAAGCTGCTAATTTTGGAGAAAGCCCAGCAGCCATAAAGTCATCAGTGCAGAAAGCATTGAGAGGTCATTGTGTCTTGTAGCAAGGTACTAATAACTACAGCTCGCAATGCTCTGAGTTTAGCATTGAAAGAAGTCTGCAGCTGCTGGGCCTTGAAGAAGCAGAGTCTTTTAAACATTGACATCAGTGGCAGCCGATGCAACACTTGTAAGTAGGGGGTGAACAGAGAGAGACTGAGAACATTTCTCAATATGTCTTTGTTTCAAAGGTACAGTGCTACCCTTTTATAAAATGTTTCCATTTACCACAGTTATTCTGTCTTACCACAGTTTCTAAGTAAAATAGTGTATCTGGGGAGGAAAAAAGACCTGAAGAGATATCTCTCTCTCTCTCTCTCTATTTTATTTCTATTTATATAGCTGCACCTCTCGCCAAAGTGACCCTGGGTGGCGAACAAAATGTAAAATTCACAACAATATTTAAAACAAAAAATAGAATACAAAAGAAACAGCAGCCAACAGTAAAACCTTAAAAATAAAATAACCAACTGGACCTCACTAACTACCTGAGGCAAACATTTATAGCAAATATTTATAGCAATACAACAGGAAGCTCTAAAATTGTACAGACCTAGTGACTCCATTGTTGACCTGTCTAAAGAGATCTGGATTCAAATTCTTACTAAATCACAGACCTGTCTTAGTGAATTTGATCCATTTACATGCTCTGCCTAATCTACATCATAGGACTTGAGGAAAGGTGGAATGTCATTATGAATGCTACTTCCTTGCAAGAATATTATAGTGCAAATATCATGAATAATACAATCATATACACAACTTTTTTCCCCTTCATCCCATCTAGGGTATGAGTGTGTATTTAGAGGTGGAAAATAGGTGGAATTGTGAGCATGGGAGAAAGAGGACTTTTGTACCTTTGTGAATAAGCATCATTAAGAGAAATCTAAGCACAGTTACATTTGTGAAGGTACCTCTGTTGTTTGTCCACTGTCGTCAATGAAGACCTCAACACCATTAGTCACATTAAAACTAAATGTGGGATGTCCGAAGATGACTGTTTACGCCAATTTGGGCACAGAATGTCCTGGCACATGTTGAGCAAACATGTGTAGACACTGCAGTTGTTGCACTGATGGCTCTAGACTTGCATAGCTCACACTTATGTTGTGCCTCTGCAGTGTACCTTACTTCATAAGCTTGACAGTCCTTATGGATGAGGCCATGCCAGGTAGAGCGATTTTGTGTCAGCTTTTCCCAGGTGGTTGTGTCTATGTCAAGCAACTTCAGAGAGGCCTTTAATGTATCTTTGTAATGTTTCTTCTGCCCTCCATGCAAGCAACATTAACATGATTTTTGCCATGTGCCAACTTCAGAAGAAGTCAGGAGCAGAATTGTGAACTCTATACAACCTTTGTTGATCTCACAAAAGCTGACAAGGCCTGCGGAGATCATGTCAAAGTTCAGCTGCCCTGCCAAATTCATTTAGATGGTATGCCAATTCCATGATGGCATGATGGCCAGAGTGCTGGATGGCAGAGAATCCTCTAAGGCATTCCCAGTCACCAATGGTGTTAAACAGGGCTGTGTGCTTGCACCCACACTGTTCAACATGATGTTTACTGCCATGCTGAATGATGGCTTTCAGGACAGTGATACTGGAATCAGCCTCAAGTACAGAGTGGATGGGAAGCTCTTCAACTTAAGAAGACTTCGAGCTATTACTAAAGTGAAGGAAACTGTTCTTAGACACTTCCTATTTGCCAATGACTGCACCCTGAATGCTGGCTCAGAGCCAGAGATGCAAGTCAGTGTGTACAAATTCTCTACGGTTCATGATAACTTTGGACTCACTACCAATATTCAGAATGCTGGCCATGCATCAGCCTGCTCCTCATGCACTGTACACAGAACCCAAAATCACAATCAAAAGGCAGAAACTACAGGCAGTGGACCAGTTCAGCTACCATGGCAGCATCCTCTCCCGAGTAGTGACCACTGATACAGAAATTAACTGCAGAATAACAGATACAAGTTCTGCTTTTGGTAGACTGTGCTCCACTGTGTGGGAATGTCAAGGAATTAGTCCAGCAACAAAACTGAAGGTCTATAGAGCTGTTGCACTCACTACCCTTCTGTACACCCGTGAAATGTGGACTGTGTATCAAAGGCATGCAATACAGCTCAACCATTTCCACTTGACTTGTTTTTGCAGAATATTAGGCATCAGATGGCTAGATAAAGTACCAGACACTGAAGTTCTCTCTAGAGCAAATCTACCATCAGTCCACACACTGCTGACGAGAGCACAGACCCAGTAGGCAGGTCACATCATCCATATGCCAGATGAGTGCATAGTCAAGCAGCTCCTTTTTAGGGAACTCTCTGGAAAATGCTTGCATGGAGGGCAGAAAAGACATTACAAAGATACATTAAAGGCCTCTCTGAAGTTGTTTGACAGACACAACCACCTGGGAAAAGCTGGCACAAAATTGATCTTCCTGGCATGGCCTCATCCATAAGGACTGTCAAGCTTATGAAGTAAGGTGCACTGCAGAGGCACAACATAAGTGTGAGCTATGCAGGTCTAGAGCCATCAGTGCAACAACTGCAGTGTCTACACATGTTTGCCCAACATGTGCCAGGACACTCCGGACCTAAATTGGCCTAATCAGTCATCTTTGGACATACCACATTTAGTTTTAACGTGACTAATGGCATTGATGTGTTCATCGACAATGGGCAAACAACAACCGAAGCACCTTCACAAATGTAACTGTGCTTAGTTTTTTCGTAATGATGCTTACTCACAAAGGTACAAATGTTTTCCTTTTCCCATGCCCGCAATTCCGCCTATTTTCCAGTATCTGTATCTTCCACGAGATTTTGCTACAAAACATTCTGAAGCAATGAGAAAATTTCCTATATAGTAAATATTGGGTACCAGAAAGTCACCAAACACTATTCTGCCTCGGTTACATTGCCATTCTTACAGATCTAATGAGAAACATGGTAAGGAAAACTTTTGATTTAATGGGGTCTCTTGATTTTTCCCACCACTTTGACTGTCATCTGCAAGTGAGAAAAACAGGCCCATAACTTCCACTGCTGTACGGCCAAGGC